GCGGATTCTGCTCTCATGTCCCACACTCTGCTCTGGTGCCAAATCTCGTGGCTCAGCTTGGAACTTCATGCCCTGTCTGAGGGGCTGATGAGAGTATCTCTCTGTATGTCAGCATGCCGTTTGGTTCTGGATGCCACAGGTGGAGATAGTTCTGGCTGCAGTTCTGGATGTAGTCTTGTTGTTGTTGTTGTTGTTGTTGTTGTTGTTGCAGCTCTGGTTCGCTGTCTGTTCGATGGAGAAGGAGGAGTCTCCTGTTGGGTTAGGTCTTTTGTCTGTTTGGAGGGTCGGGATCATAGCCTTTCTAACTCAGAGGGGGAGTCCAGGTCTCGGGACGCATTACCTATAAGTCTAGCACACTGATGTTAAATAAATCCAACCCTTTCCACTCTGTCTCTTAGTTGTTAAATGCCATCTAAACAACATAATTAATGTCTACTAATGATATTACAAAAAGTCACTCTAAAAATTGTTTCATCCATTGCTACATATTTACCCAACACAACTCTTAAATACTTACATGTTTCCAGCATCACATATTCCACACACTACGAAAAAACATCTCCATATTTTCTCTCATTTTAAATCCCACTGTTACTTCGAACAATAGTAAACCTGCAGAGCACACCAATCGGATCACAGTAATGAAATTTGAATCAAGTGTAGGCCTATGTCTACTTTCCACCATACTTATTACTTTTGCTGAACATTTATTTATATTGTCTAAATTCCTTGTCTATGATGTGCAAACAGTTCGAGTGTAAAATGTGTTTTTCACAATGTATTTACACTACAGATTCTTGAGTTTACTCATCTCCTGGTGCTGTCGTTGTAAAAAATGTTCAATTCCTTATTGTTTTGTACCAGTTTTCCAAAATCAGTTCTAACTGCCGTGCCGTTTCTGGAAAGGTGGCGGTACGGCTACACAATGTGTAAGAAGGTGCCAACATGTTCCTTTTTTAACTTTGCTTTTATTTATCTGACTTAATTAATATGTGTTCACTTGTATTAATATACTGGGCTATTGTCGTTGTTACTATTAACGTGCTTCCCGTCTTCAATACTGGCCAGCAATGTAATGATTAAAGTCTAAGCTCGAAGCTAAACCATATAAAAATGTCAAGGGTGTGATACCCCCTTTCACTTTGTCCTGATGACTTTCAGCCAGACGAACTCTGCTGTGTCGGCCTCGTGCTTCTCGGGTCCCCCTTTTGGCGCCAGCGACCTGTGTGGAGAAATCTGATACAACTCCCTCAAGCCTACGCTCAGCTGTTTTGACCCACTTGGAGCCTGTTGGTGGGTGTCTTGAAACAACAGCCGTCTGTGAACAGGTTTTCCAAATTAATTGTAGACCTCCTATCTGCTAGTGCAGCTTCAGAAATCTTAATACTTGGATTGTGCCAAACTAAATAAGAACCCCAACATCTTTAGGTAAACTAAATAACATATTTCCAATAGCTCTGAATTTCTGACAAGCATCCGTGTTTATTTTTAAATGAAATCCTATTTAAAATCCAAATATAATATGAACTGCTAATGTTTCTGGTAAAGAAACCACTAATGTTATGGATTCAAAAACAACCAAAATCACGATACTAACAAAGTGAATGATTTCCTGGTTGATACTGCTTTTACCTGTCAGTGCTTAGAATATTATCACGCTAAAAAAATGAATACAGAATTCCAACAAACTGTCATCAAATGTCTTTCTATATAAATTAGATGAAATGTATATCCCCATAATGACCTAAACAATAAAGTCTATGGCTTTTACTTCTTTACCAGGCTAGCTACATGATGTTGTCTAAATTAAATTCTGTCTCAATACACTACTATGTTTTAGCTTTAACTGTAATATGTTCTTTCTACATTTCAAACCTCAGTTACTTAATCTTGTATTAATATACTGGGCTATTGTCGTTGTTACTATTACGTGCTTCCCCGTCTTCAATACTGGCCAGCAATGTAATGATTAAAGTCTAAGCTCGAAGCTAAACCATATAAAAATGTCAAGGGTGTGATACCCCCTTTCAGCCACTAGATGGCAGCAGCAGACCACAAATGAGCTTCACTCTTCTGAGTGCCTTTTTGAGCCCCGCAGACAATTGCTCACACAGGTATTTCAGATAAAAATCACACAGATGTATTCCCCGTACAGTTTGTCCAGCTTTTATAATGTGATGTTTATTTCACAAGTTAGCTTTTCAAATTAAGTTTACAGACAAAGGGAAACGCTCTCCCTCGATTTAACATATAACAGACCTCTGGCTTTTAGCTTTCAGCCTTTGGTCTGTTATTTAACCCCAGTTTAAACGGTGACCGGATCTAAAATATCGAGTTTCCAGGTTTTGTCGTGCAGGAATCAAACCTCGCAACCAACAAACTGCACCGTCTCCACGCCACTCAGGAATAAACTACCTGCAGATCCGCGCCAAACTGCTCTATTTACGTTACGCAGGACTTTCCGTCTACCTGGCGATCAACGTTTACGTTTTGTATATAACTTTTCCTAACATAGTAAAATATGCATTGTATATTCCATTTAAACTTTAAAAACACTGTGAAACGCCTACAGACAATCCTAAAGTTTTAGCATATCCAATTACAGACAGTCGATTTTCATAACAGGCGTCTGCGTACCTTTATTTGTAGAGTTGTGCAGGGCCCTGCCGATTGTCTGAGATGTTTGAAAGCGTTTGTTCCCGACCCATTCCGGTCGTCTGGATTCCTCCTCAGCTTCGTTATATCTGGCACGTCGAGGTCACCACTTGTTAGAGATTAAAATGGATAATTGGTCCGCTTTTCAAATCTCCGCGCGTCCCTATCAAGCTGGTTATAATACAGGAAGGAATCCAGAGCTACAAAGTAACCGTTAAACAATAATCTACTTTAATGGTAATATGACAATGCAATACAATCAATACAGTACAAATTTAATACAAATTACCTTTGGGATCCCGAATTTACCTGCACGTGTGCCAGCCAGAGGAAAAAGACTGAACACAGCGTGTGTCTCTGTGTTTATACTTTCTAACAATGGGAGGAGTTATCTGATCCGCCCTTTTGGACCTCCTTGATTGGATCACAAATACCTCAGATCTTAGTTATCTGATCCGCCCTTTTGGACTTCCCCCAATCACTGTAGCTCAGTTCCATTATCTCTAGATCTAAGTTGAATGCAAATCAATACATGCTCTCACCTTCCTTTGTCCTCAAAAAACACATGTCAACAGGCCCCAAATCCAGCTCACAGTTTTACACAAATTATTTCCCATTTTAAGCTTATTCATAGTTTGCTAACATGAATACATACAAATATTTCACTACAACGTCAACCACCTCCCCTCCCTTCAAGAAAGCATCTGCAGTCTCCGAAGCCTGATAAGGATGTGTGTGTACAAAACGCAACAAACTCTTACTGATATGTGCTGGGTCCAGGCTCAAGGGTGTATGGCACTCTCAACTCTTTCCAGGACATGCTGGGGCCCTGCCTGCCAGTACCTTTGCCGATATCTGTGTTGATAGGTAATAGATTAAGAGCGGTGAATCAGCTTAGAAACAGGAAGTGCTCAAACGTTTGTGTGAGTTTATCAAATTTAGCAGTAATTCCATGTCAGCCACAGCTGTCACAAAAAAATCTTACTGATAGTGTGTTTAACAAACTTAAACTAGCTTTATTAAATGTCAGGTCTCTGGCAGGAAAAAACATTTGTAATCAATTATTTGATCACTGAGCACAATCTCGATTTTATGTTTTTAACGGAAACTTGGATTGAACAAAATAACAGCGCAGCTGTTCTTATCGAATCAACCCCTCCCAACTTTAGTTTTATGAGTCAGGAAAGAATGCATAAGAAAGGGGGTGGAGTTGCTATTCTGTTCAATGATTCCATTCAATGCAGGAAGACATCTTATGGGAACTTTTGAATATGTGGCCCTTCAGCTGAAATGCTCCTCTCGAGCTCTGTTCCTAAATATCTATAGACCACCCAAATACTGTGCAAGCTTTTTTGATGACTTTACTGAACTGCTGTCTATAGTGTGTATTGACTTTGGCCGTCTAGTCATTGTTGGTGATTTTAACATCCATAATGACAACCCCCAGGACAGAGGGGCTAAAGAACTGTGTTGTGTTCTTGATAGCTATGGACTGACTCAGCATGTGACGGAGCCCACGCACAATAAGGGGCGCACTCTGGACTTAATTATCTCAAAGGGTCTGAATATCTCTGAGGTTGTGGTGACTGATGTTGCACTCTCTGATCATTCCTGTGTTTTCTTTGAGAGCTCTATTTCTGTTCACAAAGATGTTCAAAAAGAGATAACCACAAAGCGATATTTAACTGAAAATACTGCGGAAATGTTTACTCAGAATTTTTCATCCACACTTGCCCCTGCTAATATCTCAATAAATGAGCTAGTAGATCATTTTGATTCAAAAATTAAAAATGTTATAGATAATATAATGTTATTGTTATGCCATTGCTCCAACTAAGGTAAAGGAAGTGACTGGGAAGAAAATATCTCATAAAGCTTCTTAACTAAACAAGAGATGCAGACAACAGGCCAACTTGTCAATGTCGATAGCCACGAAGCTAAGAAAAAATAGCAGTCTGAGTTATTCGTAAAAATATGTTGTTTCAGTTCTGCTGGAGACCAAAAACTGATCATGACAAATATAACTTCCTCTGTAACTGGACATTTCTTAATTTATCTTTAATGTTCATCAGGTGAACTTCAAGACTGCATTCAAATGTGCAATGATCATTAAGCCAAATATTCTATGATAACACTTTGAAATGTGCTTTTGTGATTATTTTATACATTTTTCTATACTTGATACTTTTGTGCTTTTACCCAAGTAACATTTTGAATTCAGTTCTTTCAATGAAGTATTTTTAGACCATAGTGTTTCTGCGTTGGGGAGGAGAGTAGAGCTGTGTTGTGTTTGGAGGAGGGACTTCATCATTTAAAGAAGTAACAAGTTCCTGGTTGGCCAGAAAATAAAAAGAAAGGTTGTGGTAAACCATCAGAGTCGCAGCATGAAAGTCTGTCACACTTTGATCTGCTTCTTCTTGTTCTTCTGTGAGTACTATTCATGTAACTCTCTTGTAATTGAATAACTTTTAATGTTAATGTGAGGCTTTAGCGGTGCGAGAAATTCAAATCTTCCAAAGTTTGGCTTTTTAATATGCAACCAATGACCTAAGCTTCAAATGTATGTTTCACTTCCTCAAACAAACTGTACCTCATCATTAAACTCAGTTATATCTACTGACTGAACAAGTAAAACTAAGTCACAGTTAATGTATACGCTTGTTTTTAGCCTTTACTGCTAATGTTTATTTTCATAAACATTTGATCTGCAAATTATTTTCTTGATGCATTTATTAATCTTTAAATTTGTATTTTTCACTATATATACATGCTGCTAATGTTAATTTGTACTTTTTTTAGACTTGTATTTTATTGTATCTTTTTAAACATTTTAACTTGTGTAATGCTTGGTACTGCTGCTGGGACAAAATCCTTTCCCAATTTGGGATAAATAAATTATCTATCTATCTATCTAATTGTTTATTCTAAAAATGTCATAAATAACATTAAAAAATGGTGTTGAAGGTGATGTACTATAACGTTTTGCGCTAATGTAACGCTCAAAGTAAGAGATGTAGACTTCATGCAGTCTTTGTGTCTAAAGGATAAAGATCTCAGACCAAACGGTCACATTAACCTGCAGTGCTGATGGTGATCTTCAGTCACAGGCTGTGGTTTAACTCTGAGGATCTGTGTTCATGTGAAACAGGAAGTGTTGTTTTCAGACTGCAGCATCTTACAGGAAGTACTGACCACTACTAATGATGGCTCATCTTTTGTTCACCTTTTGTTCAGCTCTGCAGGATGGAAACCCCGGTCTCGTCAGTGCCCAAGTCTCTGTCTATTCTGGAATTGAAGGAGAAAATGTCACAGTTGAATGCTCCATTGCTTCTTATGGAACCAGGAAGTTCTTCTATAAGAAAACATGTGAACAAAAAGACATTCTCATTGAAACATCCGGTGCCTCAGCTCAGAGAGGCAGATACAGCATTGATTATGACGATAGACATTTTTTTGTGACCATCACTCAGCTGACCAAGTCTGACTCAGGAAAGTACTGGTGTGGTGTGGATACATCTTCTTCAAGTACTTCATACACGTTTATTGAAATCATTGTTGTGGACGGTGAGTTTCTACTAAAAACTGAATGTTCTTCCTTGTCTAAATAGTTGTACCTTTTCACCTACTTTTTGTTTCAATTGTAATGCTTTATTGTCATGTGCACATAGCTACAGTTTAGATGTGGCAAAGAAAAACTCAAGTGCAACATGAATATTTACCTCATCTTAATCCTACATCTCTTCTGAAAGTAACGGATAAACCAAGACTTACAAAAGTGTATTTGAATATTATTGTAAAGAACACACTTTGTTATTTCAAGTGATATTTTAGTGATGGAGAATTTAATACCAGGAGCAGGAGCATATTGCTCTGTTGTGTGTTTTCCATTGCTGAATGTTGTAGAGTCTATGAGACAGCTCTCTGTTCTGTTGAAAAGTAAGACAATAAGAAATAGATTGAGATCAATAGACAATATTAAAACAACTGAACTGGTCGTTGGCTGCGGTCGGGCTTTAAAGGAATACATTAACCCCCAAATTACAATTTATAGATCAATGAATTACTCATCCTGTGTTACCTTGAATTTGTGTAGAAGACTTTTTCTAGCACGACTCCACGGTGAACAAAGAATCCCAAAATGGAGAAAAGTCTTAATGAATGTGAAATTAATTCAGGGCCTCGTTTTACAACAGCAGATATTAAAACATCCGTTAACTAACTCGAACACAACTAATGCTGTATAGTCCAAAGGTCATTTACTGTGTGCTCACTACTTCCCTAAAACATGCATTCTGCTTAAACCTCACCGTTTAAAACACTTCTGCAGAAAGAGACGAGCTCCTCTTTTCTCAAGAACAGTTAATGCAGAAGTTTTTAGATAAGTAATGTTTTAGGGAAGTTATGAGCTTATGAACTCAAGGTAACTCAGTGTAAGTCATAATATCAAAATGATACTTTGAAGGGTTAAAGACATCCTTTCAAAAATAAATCATCATTCTTTGCAACAGATCATCAAGTTCACATATTTAATTATCAGCTCACCTTAATGAGACACTAGTTATAACTCAAAATTACAAAGCCAAGGATTTTATTGAAGCATTCAAATCTAATATTAATCTAAAAATATATTGATATCAAATCCTATTTTGAGCACAGTGTAAAATAATGATTTGCTAAATCTCCTTGAATAATATTTAGTTAAAAAGCTGTTTCATTAAATCGTCACACCTCATCCCTCAGTCACTGGATCACGTTTGAAAAAACACAAAGTTATAAATAATGAAACTACAACTTGTAAACTACACATAGTAACTATTGATTGTTGTTTTTTTCAACAGCAAAACTTGATGGTGATCCTTCTGCAGAAAAAACAATCGATGCTAGAACTGGGGGAAATATTGTAGTTGAATGCTCCTTTACTCGCTCTGGGACCGAGAGGTACTTCTGCAAGGAAGAATGTGAAAGAGACATTCTTGTTGAAACGACTAGTGACACATATACTAAAAAAGACAGATACAGCATCAGACATGTTAAAGGAGGATTTGTGTTTGTGAGCATCAAACAGCTGACCCAGTCTGACTCAGGATGGTACAGGTGTGGTCTGGACAGAACTGACTCATCAAACAGCAGCTTTAGAAAAAAGTCCACATGCTTTTTCCCTGGTCACAGACCCAAACAAGAATGCTAGTGGGGGAACGTTTTTTACATCTCTTGCTTTTTTTATCCGAAAAACTTTTGTCAAATGTAAAAAGGGATATCAGATAAGTGTAAATAAGACAAATGGCCCAACCAAAGGAAAAGGATTGAAGTAGTCTTTGTTTGTTGTCAATATTTACACTTTATTCTATATTGGCGGTGTTCCGACTCTGATCTGCAGCTGTGACACAACAATTATCCTCAGTATCAATACAGTTTGATCTTATCCAAAGTTTTTGGGAAATGGTGTAAAGAATGTATTGTTGGCTTGCAGTTTACCACGGTTTGATCTTCTTGGTTTTTTAGTGAGTACACCTTTATTTCTGTCATTTTCTATATAACGTAATTTCCCTTTTATATTTACAGATATACTCCCCCAGATGTGTGCTCATCAGGGTGTTGCGTATTTTAAAATGAGTCTCTGTCTTGTTTGTTCCTGTGGTTAGAAGTGTGATCAGCTACCAGTATGAGTCACTTCTATTTTATTATTAGATTTCCTAAATTGTTGTACCTTTTTCTAATGTGTGTCCGATCAACATTGGCTTTTCTGTTCTTTTTTAAGATCTTATAATATATATAATACATCTGTAGTCTTTAGAGTGGTTCAGCCAGACTGTAGCTGAGCATGTTGTACCTTCACAACACAGGAAACTACCTTTAACGCAATTTGCAGAACTATGTCTTCCTTACAGAGAAATCTGTATCCCAACATAAATGTTCAGCTTCACAGGAAGTCCCTGCAAATGCATGCTTTTTTTCACTTTTTTCAACATCTTACAATATAAGAGAGAAACAATTATTTTTCAGAGGAAAAGCAACAGAGCGGCAGTAAAATGCTTCTAGCAGTGTAATGAAGTATAATGTATCAGTAAATGGAAATACTCAAGAAAAGATGATATTGACTTTAACCTAACATATGTTTGGATGTATGTTTAACATTAGGGAAGATGATGCTGTATTGATTAAACTCATGAAGTGTAGGAAAGTGTTTTCGCTGATGAATGTGGAATAAAACATTAATAATTCATTGTATTAAACACAACATGATCTTTTTAAACTTGTGTCGATTAAAAAAAAACGCATTACAATATTAATCTTAAATTAAAGATGTGGATCCTCAAATCCAGATTTTACTAAAAACTGACCGGAAGTTTTACAGAGCAATTTCCGGTCAGAGACAGTGAACCTGAGAGGAATGAGGAGCTGCGTTGTTGATCTTTTATCCTGAACAGTAATTGAAGTGTTATTCATGACTTATTACAGTGACATGTTTCACTACAGAAGGTACGAAGAACTTCAGGAGTGCAGTTTTCTTCTTAATGGACTAACAGCTCTTCTCCTGCCTCGGTAAATTAAGCTAGCTCCAGGACTGTTTGCGTTAGCCGTTAAAAAACGTTATTTTCAGTTTGAATTTAAATGTTAGTACATTACAGTTAGAAGTATGAGAACAAAATGTGATGAAACTACAGGTGAAATGTTATAGTAATATTATATTTTAACTATCGACAAACTAAAACATTTTTTAATACGTTTTACAGTGCAGTTTCCGGTGTTAGAAAGTGACGAAGAACGAGCTGCTGCTGCGTTTCATATTGTTGATCTTAGAATGAGCAGAAAGTGATGAATAATATAAGAGCACAGTTTAATTTAGTTTTAACAGTTACATAAAAGTAGAGAAGGTACAAAGAACATCAGGAGGGCCGTTTTCTTCTTAATATGCTAACCTCACTTCACCTTCAAGCTAGCTCCAGACTGATTCTGTTAGCCGTGTTCTGTTAAAAAACGTTATTTTCCGTTTAAATTAACATTAGGACAGAAGTGGGAAGTAACTAAGTTCATTAACTCAAATACTGTACTGCAGTACCATTTTGAGATATTTCCATTTTCTGCTTCTTTGTACTTCTACTCCACTATGCTTTGGAGGTAAATGGTGTACTTTTACTCTACTACATCTATTTATTATCTTGGTTTAGTTTGCACATTTTGATAATTAATGTGAAATATAATCAATACTTAAATCAGACTTTAGTTACACCTGGAGTCAATTCACAAGCTACCCTGCAGCATACAACGTCATTAAAACTAGCTGCACCTTTACCAGCTTTGATAACACTTTTAATGATCAATAATCATGATCAAAACATATTATTCTGGAATCGGTGAATTTGCATATTTAATCATTGTATTTTTGGTACTTTAAGTATTGATGCTAATGTTGTTACTTTTACTTGAGTAACCCTTTGAACACATGACTTGTAATTGTAACAGAGTATTCCTACACTGTTACTTCTACTTTTACTTCATTACAAGACCTGAGTACTTCTTCCTTCTTTAAGGGGAACAATATGATGAAACGACGGATACCATTTCCAGTAATAATCCTTTTTTTTTTTTACTATTGAGTCAACAACATATACATGAGTAAGTGAGTGTTGTAGTGAAATGATGGAAATTAAAAGTTGACTAATTTCGCTAATATCTGCCTGAATTAAGCTACCATGTTAACCTTATTGTGAAAACCTTCCGTTTAAAATCACTGACGGTACGTCCACACAGCCGCGTTAAAAAAATCTTGGAAGTGGGCGTATCTGAAGCTTGGGGATTTTTTGCGAGCAACGCGACCAACAACCAATCACATGAATCTCCTGCCCCCGACATACAAAGTGATAGCAATGTTAAAACGAAGTAAACTGGATATAAAATCCCCAAACAGGCGAAAACCTACCAGTTTCACCCACTGTCTCTGCCACCTCCCTCCATGCCTGGTTCCTCCGGTTTGTATTCTTTCACACACACATACGGGTATTGGGCGGAGCGCGACACCGTACTTCCGGTATCCGCGTTTTACGCGAGGTGCAAGCAGCCGTACACCGTCTAGGTGTTGCTAAGCTTCCTGTACTGAATATCATAGTCTATTGCCTTAATCAATATCTAGTCAACTCTAAAATACCACATATATGCAATGGCATGATAATATTATTGTGACAAGTGGGGTATTCACCTGGTGTTTCCAGAAATTAGACGTAGATGCAGCCAAAATCGACGCAGTCTGTAAGGGCAATCCGACAACCCACACAGCTCTAGTTTACGCTGGTAACGACCTAGAGCACACCCCTCAAGTCCAGAGATGTAATCCGAAGACATGCAGCGATTTCTTCGGTCGTTAATTCAGAAAAAAAAACCTAGTCCGCTCTGCCTGGCTACGTTAGCTAGCTGTTTATATTTGCACTTCCAGGATATTTGCACCTCCAGGAAAATGGCGTATTTATATATATATATATATATATGGCGCATGTTGCATTGTGGGTAGCTCGTGACGTCACTGTGTGAAAGAATCCCGTTACGTTATTAGCGACTGGTCAATCAATCAATCAATGTTTATTTATATAGCCCAATATCACAAATGTTACATTTGTCTCAGTGGACTTTACAGTTTGTACAAAATATCAGTATGACAATATGACACCCTCTGTCCTTAGACCCTCACATCGTACAAGGAAAAACTTCCGAAGAAAACCCACAGTTTAAAGGGAAAAATGGGAGAAACCTCAGGGAGAGCAACAGAGGAGGGATCCCTCTCCCAGGACGGACAGACGTGCAATAGATGCCGTGTGTAAATTGAAAAGATAATACATTTGCAACATAGGTAGTCCAAATGTTTGGAAATGCATGTGTGTATAATAGGAAGATGAATCCACGAGGATATCCATCCAGGGCCTATGATCCAGGACCACAGCCACGACTCAAGATCCAGGGCTCGCGATCCAGGACAGAGGAGCGCAGGATCATCCATGACTCCGGATCCCGGCGTATATAGACACCAAAAAGAAAGACATTTGGGGAAGCTGGGTTAATCGGAACATGAGAGTACACAGGTATAGACAGAGAGAAGGAAGAAGTAAGATGTCCCCCGACAAACTAAGCCTATATCAGCAAAACTAGGGGCTGGATCTAATCAGCCCTAACTATAAGCTTTATCAAAAAGGAAGGTCTTAAGCGCACTCTTAAAAACGGATAGGGTGTCTGCCGCCCGAACACAAACTGGAAGCTGATTCCACAAATGTGGAGCTTGATAAGAAAAGGCTCTGGCTCCCATTGTACTTTTAGAGACTCTAGGAACAACCAACAACCCTGCATTCTTGGAACGCAATGCCCTAGTAGGACAGTAGGGTATAATGAGTTCTTTAAGGTAAGATGGCGGTCATATGACTGGTCATAAAGAACCGGGTGATTTGCTACCGCAATAACTAATTTCTCCTCCATTTTCAGGAATATAGAAAATGAACTGCGGTCTGGCTCTCCCAGCTTGCACGCGGTTTGATTGGCTAGCGCTTGTACTGTCAGATTTGCATAAACGGGATTTGATTGGCTGACGCTTCCACCTCAGCTTCAAAAGTTGAACATTGCTCAACTTTTGAATCCTGAAAATCCTGGAAATCTTCGCTTTGCTTCCCCACAATGCAGTTCGGCGAAAAGCGAGGCAAAGTGACGTCACCCCATTCAAAGTCAATGGGCAGAAGCGTTGGAAGATTTTTTTAACGCTGCTGTGTGGACGGGCCGTGAGTGCTTTTTTTTACATAAGGAACTGGTACGAAAGTTTATATGAAACAAGCTCAAATAACATTAAAACCATCAATTATTATTATTTTAACTTAAATGAAATGTTACACCTGGAAAAACAAATACAGGACCGAGAATAATACATTGAAAACTATAATAAAAAGAGACGGATGAATTCATTTCAATAAACTTGTGGAAACTAAATCACACAGGTCTGAAGGGATTAATTTGGAATGCAGTCCAGTGACAGGTGATGGACTGTGAAAGGGCGTCGTTGAGAAGCTGGATTGAACGAGGACATCCCTGTGTCGCTCTCTCTCTTTCGCCCCCTGTCTGCACCGGTTAAAATCAGGTTAAAATAGAAGATCCCTTAATAATGTATTGATGAGAGGTACGGGTCTGTATAGGTCCGCCTGTTGGTGACCTATGAACCACAACATTAAAATGCTCCTACATGTATTCATTAGACATAAAAACAGAATCATATATTCTATAATAAAACGACACTATGAAAGGAGCTATTTGGGTGCATTCACACCTAATAGTCCGCTCTCCGGTGAGCACCAGACGACAGTTAGTTACATTGTTTCATTTTTCAGAAGCTTCGGTTTGCGTTCACACGGGCAAAACTCAAACAGACTATAAACTTTAAACACAAGTCATGTGCTTGGAAATGCTGTTCAATAATTGGTGAGACATTAAGGGGGTAAAAACTCAAATCCCGGCAATTTCTACCGGAGCCTCCGCCATGGAGCATCGGCATTTTCGGCAGGTTATTCTCATGCTGCTGTTAATCTGGAGATCAACAGACAATCATATGCGGCCCGCGCATATGATTATATAATCAGACAACGTCCGTTAAAAAACATTATAACACATATAATGAGAGACGTTCTGCAAGGAGGGGCGTTTCACCGACGACAGGTGTTCTTACTTTTGTAGCTGACGGAGAATTTTTACTTTACACGACACTGTTCAACACTTCATTCTGCTTCACTCTTTAACTAAACAACCGCGGATGTCTTGAAAGCAGGCTTGGAATTTCGTCATTTTAGGGGCAAGGCCATTTGGCCTTCCCGTTCACATTTTTTTCAAGGGCACAAAGGCCACATGACAGGGCACAAAGGCCACATGACAGGGCACAAAGGCCGTTTGGTTAAATTACGCTGGTCAATCAACATGACTGAAAAGTGTAGCACTAACGTCAACACCAGTCGTTTTACAAATGGCTGATTAGCAATAGTGTTTCTTAAACGTATACGTTAAGTTCAGCCATAAACCACATAAGTCAGTCATGTATTATATCAAAACCGCTTAGCAAGAAAAATACTAGATTCAAAGGTGACAGCTATCTGCTAGCTTGTAGAAGCAACACTAGATGTAGACCCCTTGAAGGGAAGACGTTAGCGCTATCCAAACTAGCTAGCTATCGCTAGTTTTCATGACAAAATGTAACGAGTCGACTTTAAATAGGCTAATACAATGGTAATTACCTATCAATAGTACTTTCTATAAACACGTAAATGTTAAGTCCTTTCAAATACTACCACATACTTCAGTTAAATCATATCAAAACAGCTTGGTCCGCTTGCTTACCTGTGCTTGTCTTGCTCCCGCGGCTGAGGAGGAGACTGTCGGGCCCCTACAGGCATTTCTGACGGAACAATCACAGCAGAGCAATCGCTCTGATCCACAGGGCACAGGCATCGCCCGGGACTATCCTACTGCGCGCACTAGTATGACTTTACTAGCGTTGTTTACACTGGAACTTTTGACAGGGGCACCAAGGCCACTTTGGCCGTGAATTGCATTTTTTTTCACAGGGCATCACGGCCAAAGTGCGGGGCAACGACGGCCATGGCCGTCGTGGCCGTCGTGAAATTCCCACCCTGCTTGAAAGACTCTTTCGCTAAAGATTTTGAAGATATCCGCATTCTTGTGACACGTAAATACTACGCTTCCTATGTTTTGGTGGGGACTGCGTTCACACCAGCGATGAACCGTTCCAGAGTTCGCAAGCAAGCGCTCCGAGACCACCTATTTTAGCGGACCAGAGTCCGGTTGTTTAGTTCACTTCAGAGGTCTCGGATTGTGTTCACACCGACCCAAATGAACCGCACCAAGCGGCTAAACGCACCAGGGTTCGATTCAACCGGACTATACAAGGCAGGTGTGAACGCACCCTGAAAGTACAATTCAGCACATTCAATGGAGTATGTTTAGACCGTAGTGTTTCTGCGTTGGGGAGGAGAGTAGAGCTGTGTTGTGTTTGGAGGAGGGACTTCGTCATTTAAAGAAGTAACAAGTTTCCAGTAAAGAAAGACAGTCCGTGGTAAACCATCAGAGTCTCAGCATGAACATTTCTCGCACTTTGATCTGCTTCTTCCTCCTCTTCTGTGAGTACTTCTCTTTATTTTCATCTCAGTAATTTAAATGTTTCCTTTAAAGTATTTCTTAAGTTAATGCAAGGCTCCAGAAGTAAGAGTTATTCAAATATTTCAAAGTTAGGCTTTTTAATAGCTTGAAAAGTATGTTTCACTTCCTCAAACAAACTGTACATCATCATTAAACCCAGTTATTATCTGCATACTGAACGAGTAAAACTAGAAGTCATAACAACTAATTATTTAGTAAAATAATGTACATGCTTGATTGTACTGCTAATGATTATTTTCATAATCATTTAATCTCCAAATTATTTTCTTGGTTCCTTTATTAATCCTTTGATTTGTATTCTTACTATATATATAAATGCCGCTAATGTACATTTGATCTGTGTTAATGTGAAACAGGAAGTGTTGTCATCAGACTGCAGCATCTTACAGGAAGTACTGACCACTAATAATGATGGTTCATCTTTTGTTCATCTTTTGTTCAGCTCTGCAGGATGGAAGCACCGATCTCGTCAGTGCCCAACTCACGCTCTATTCAGTAACTGAAGGAGCAGATGTCATAGTTGAATGCTCCTTTCCTTATAAAAAAAACAGTTTTTTCTGTAAGGAAAAATGTAAACAAGAAGACATTCTCATTGAAACAACTGATGCCAAAGCTTATCAGAGAGGAAGATACAGCATTGATCATAAACCGAAAGGTTTTGTTGTGACCATCACTCAGCTGACCAAGTCTGACTCAGGAAAGTACAGGTGTGGTTCGGCTGCATCTTCTTCAAGGAATTCATCCACGTGTATTGAAATCATTGTTGTGGACGGTGAGTTTCTACTAAAAACTGAATGTTTTCTTCCTTGTCTAAATAATAGTTTTACCCTTTCACCTACTTTTTGTTTCAATTATAATGCTTTATTGTCATGTGCACATTAGCTAAAGTGTAGATATGGCAAAGAAAAACTCAAGTTCAACATGAATATTTACCTCATCTTAATCCTACATCTCTTCTGAAAGTAACGGATAAATCAAGACTGACACAAGTGTATTTGAATATTATTGTAAAGAACACACTTTGTTATTTCAAGTGATATTTTAGTGATGAAGAATTTAATACCACGGTCATATTGGTCTGTTTTGTGTTTTCCATTGCTGAATGTAGAGAGTCTATGAAACAACTCTCTGTTCTGTTGAAAAGTAAGACAATTAGTTATAGATTGAGATCAAAAGACAATATCAACAACTGAACTGGCAGTTTGTGGCTGCAGTCGGGGCTTTAAAGGAATACTTTACCCCACATTAAAATGTTTCGATTACTGAATTACTCATCCTGTGTTACCTTGAATTGTGAAGAAAACTTTTCTAGCATGACTCCACGGTGAACAAAGAATCCCTAAATGGAGACAAGTCTTAATAAATGTTAAATTAACTGGGGCTTTGTTTTACAACAGCAACAATATATTAAAACATCTGTTTATTAACTCTTGCACAACTAATGCTGTATAGTCCAAAGGTCATTTACTGTATGCTCACTACTTCCCTAAAACATGCATTCTGCTTAAACCTCACCGTTTAAAACACTTCTGCAGAAAGAGACGAGCTCCTCTTTTCTCAAGAACAGTTAATGCAGAAGTGTTTAGATAAGTAATGTTTTAGGGAAGTTATGAGCAAATGAACTCAAGGTAACTCAGGGTAAGTCATAATATAAAAACGCTACTTTCAAGGGTTAAAGACATCCTTTCAAAAATAAATGTCATTCTTTGCAACAGATCATCTCTAAAGTTCACATATTTAATTATCAGCTCACCTTAATAAGACACTAGTTATAACTCAAAATTACAAAGCCAAGGATTTTATTGAAGCATTCAAATCTAATATTAATCCCAAATATATTGATATCAAATCCTATTTTGAGCACAGTGTAAAATAATGATTTGCTAAATCTCCTTGAATAATATTTAGTTAAAACTTTGTTTCATTAAATCGCCACACCTCATCCCTCAGTGACTGGATCAAGTTTGAAAAACACAAAGTTATAAATAATGAAACTACAACTTGTAAACTACACATAGTAACTATTGATTGTTTTTTTTTTCAACAGCAAAACTTGTTGGTGGTCTTTCTGCAGAAAAAACAATCGATGCTAGAACTGGCGGAAATATTGTAGTTGAATGCTCCTTTACTCGCATTGAGACCAATATGTTCTTCTGCAAGGAAAAATGTGAAGGAGACATTCTTGTTGAAACGACTAGTGACACGTATACTATAAAAGACAGATACAGCATCAGACATGTTAAAGGAGGATTTGTGTTTGTGAGCATCAACCAGCTGACCCAGTCTGACTCAGGATGGTACAGGTGTGGTCTGGGCAGACCTGACTCTAAAGATCTATACCAGAGGTTTATGCTCAACGTCACTGATGGTGAGTTTCTGCTTGATAATGAAAATGTTTGTTCATGTCTCTGAAGACAGTTTTCACTGAAAGCTGCTGATGCTTTCAACTCTCAATTTAGTTCAGCCGACACACACAGACACTCAGGAGGATCTCATTTCTCTCATCAGGACTTCTTTGTGTCTGCTTGTTTTTGATCACAGCTCTCAAGTAGATTTTAAAATGCTTCATCTTGAAATCAGGTTCTCAGCGTTCAAAAGATTTACTCTATTTTTACAGTATATGGCAAATACTGTTGACCTGTTGTCTTCCCCTAAAGATAACCCCCCCCCTTGAAAAACAAAATGGATTATGGGTACTCAAGTGTTAGATGTCATGGTTTACATTTAACTCTTCAAACAATGTTTTAAACTCAATTTAAAAGTTCAGCCGACACACACAGACACTCGGGAGGATCTCATTTTTCTCATCAGGACTTCTTGCTTGTTTTTGTTCACAGCTCTGACCACTTCTACACCTTCATCATCCGTCTCATCAGCATCCTCAACAACAACAATCCAAAGTGAACGTTCCACAACTACACCAGCCTCCTCTAAAACCACCAAGCACCCTGAAGAAACTAAAGGTACATCCACAAACTGTGCTTACTAGATAACGTTTCAACAACTTGTGAGACATAGTAGCATGAGTAGCACTTGAAATGTTTGGCTCTATGAAACCTGATGTACTTATATGATTCTGTTTTCTTCAAGGTTGTGTCTTCCTGGTCGAATGTACTTATTGTAAGTCGCTTTGGACAAAAGCGTCAGCTAAATGCAATGTAATGTAATGTAACATAAAAGAGCATGATAATGTCCATCACATTCTTCCATCATATTGTTCTAGGCCTTTTCTGCAATCACAGCCTGTACATTTCAATTAGCAACTAAATGGATTATGGGTACTCTAAGTGTTAGATTAAATATGTAATTCTTCAAACACTGACAGGTGTGATCCTGTATGTGTCTCTGACTCTGGTCGTCCTGGTCATCGTGTCATCACTGTCTGTGCTGGTATTCTGCAGGAAGAGGATTTGTAAAGACAAAAGTGAGGAACTAGGTAACACACACACACACACACACACACACACACACACAAACACACACAAAACATTTCTCGCTGAAAAGTTGTCTGATTTCTCTTGACCTATATTAACTTTAAAAGCAGACGCACAATTCTTAAATAACTTTCTCACACAAAATGTCCATCCCCCAACACCAGATTGGGGTACGGATATTCATTTACAGCATTAAAATAACCCAACTGCTGCTCAGTCTAAAGGTTTTATCACTGGTTCTTGTAGAGTGACAATCCTTCAGTTGTTGCTAGGAAACAGGTGCTAGATTTATGCTTTTGCAAGTTGCAACATCACGAACATACAACATGTTAGTATCAATGCAACTACACATTAATACGATTTAAAAAAACAAGTCAAGAATATACATTTAAATCTATATCACACCTGACTGCAAATCAGTCTATCTACAAAACGTATGCCATTTATAAAAATAAGCTTTTCACAAACACAGTGAAGTCAGATCAGAGGCTTTTTTTTTTTTAAAGTTAATATGCATTTTAGAAACATGTACAGCCATTGGTTGTTATTTTTTTCATTGAAACTTTATTTTATATACTTAATCAATTTTCTTTGGTAATTGAGATTTGGCAGGGTGGTTAATGATTAAATATAGCCTACTGTATATTCTGTTGTTTAAAAACTCAAGACACATTTATTTATCTTGTTTTATTCCAATTGTAATTGTTGGCCTAAATATTGGTTAAAATGGGGAATGTGTGATGTCATGTTTGAAAATCTGTTCTGAGTCTTTTTATCAAAGTACTGTTGTGTTTTTCAGAACCGCATGTGGAAACACAATGTGCTTCTGCACCAGAGGTGAGTTTGAGGAAATGTGAGAATCAAATGAATTCAGTCTTCTGAAGACCAACAAAGTGTACGAGGGTCTATGTGAGATATCCTGGGGAAATATCTTCAATTTACCCTTACTGTACACTGTACGCCAAATAAACACGACCAAATTGAGCCAAAACCAATTATTACTACCATGTTGTTGCTGCAGCTAGTTTACAAAATACAGTAAGGATAAACAAGTAATACAATATTGTCTGCAGTAATATAATACGTCTAAATATGGAAAAAAATACCTAAACAAACACAAACTTTTTTTTGTTTTGATGACGGTAACTTCACAACCAAGTCCAGTTGCTTGTTTTGTTCTGTTGTTTAAAGACACATTTAATCAAGCAATGTTTTTTCCTCCAGGCTGAAGACGACCCGAGTCAACACGCCTACTCTAAGATCAATTTTGTCAGCGTCGGCTCGTCCCACAGCGGTTTAGACGGTGACGCTGAGTGTGTTATCTACTCTGTTCCTCGGATGGAAGCTAGCTCTGATGAGCCCCATCTGTACTCTACTGTTAACGACCCCCAATAACTCTCACAGTCTGGCAGAAGAAGCTGGTGTGGATTAAGCAGCCGCATAAATATTCTGACACAGAGAGATGTTTGTGGGAATATGTACGATTATCTAACCATTTACTTATTTCAAACCTGCTTTGAATGACCTGCTCATGTGATGTTCAGTTCTGCTCTAGTTCACAAAACGTGCCTCTTCAACAGTTTGCTTCAGGTCAAAGCTGGTTGCACTTATTGTACGTCCCTTTGGATAAAAGCCTCAGCTAAACGATATGTAGTTTAATGTAAAAAGCTCTTTTATGACTTCAATGTATTTATAAAGTTCATTTTATTACACTTGATATGGTATTAAAGTTATCTCTGTAAGATAGACTGTTCTAGTCAAGTTATCAGATTAGCATAAGATATGTTGCTTCGAATTAGCTTTGACTATTAAATTAACTATTTTGGTTAAAGAGTTCATTTACAGAAATGTTTAATTATAGCGGAATATAAATAAATAGATATGAAACTATAGATGTGGTCAGTACGGGTTTCAAGATGCCACTCCTCATACTGTTTAACCTGTTAGTATTGTATATATATTAGGGCTGTCAAGTTAACGCGTTAATAACGCGTTAACGCGTGTGTATTTTTTTTCCTCGGCCGCCCCGTAGTTTCAGAGCGCATCGAGTTTAAAATACCATCTACAAGCTGATGCTGACAGCCCCGCTCCTGCCGCCCCTTGTTGGCAGACCACACTTCCACGCTCACCGGCAGGCACCGACTGGCTATTGGGAGGACCGGGATGCCCGAGCGAGCGAGAGAGAGACCTTACGTGCATTGTTGTTGTTAGCATCTGGTGCTAGCTAGCTGCGCTAACGGATATATGGAGCTGTTTAAATGAAAACAGAGGAGCGACATTTCGCCACAACTGCGCCGAACACTTGACTTTATGCAGGAAGCCAGACAGTGGGACATTGTACGAAAAGTCAGCACACTCAGCACGGATAGTGCGTGCAACATGATTGCAGCGTCCAGGCAGCTCCCGTTCGAGCCTTGAGTTGCACATAGCTCCAACGCACACACACCACACACACACACACACACACACACACACACACACACACACACGCCGCGCGCACACACACACACACACCATTTGTATTGTATTATTGTATGAGAGGTTCCAGGTTGAATTGAGGCGAATATTTGTAATGTTCAGAGGTTATTGTGTTTAATATTCATGAGAATATTTGTCATTGTTTAAATGATAATAAACATTAGCATAAAGCATATTTGTCCACTCATATGTTGATAAGAGTATTAAAAACTTGAAAAATATTCCTCTAAGGTACATTTAGAACAGATAAAAAATGTGCGATTAATTTGCGATTAATCGCGATTAACTATTTTAAGGGACTAACAGCCCTAATATATATATATATATATATATTTGGATTTGCACCTTTTTTTATAGTTTTATTTTTTATATTTAATTTTATATTAGCAATTAGCAACACACCTTCTACGTATACAAATACAAATAAAAGTTATCTTAAACAAATTATTTCTGAAATGTGTTTGACAATAATTTAATAATTTAAATGTTAACAGTAAAATATATTATTTTGCTGCATTAAGTTGCAACGTTTTAAAGTGAAACCATACGTGATACACATGCAGGTGTTAGAGGAGAGTCATGCTGTAAGTGTTTTATTTTAAGCAGGGACTCCATCGTTTAGAGAAGTGAAAACGTGTTGGTTTGCCGGTGAAGAAGAAAGAGAGACAGCGTTCAACCATCAGAGACCCGAACATGGACGTCTGCCACAGTTTGATCTTCGTCGTTCTCAGTGAGTACACTTTGTAGTTCTGTCATTTCTCTATAACGTCATCTTCCTTTCTGTATTTAATGTTAAACTCCCCAGCTGTATGATCATCAGCTGTTTGTTTGTGTGGGTAAAGGTGTGACCAGCCATGAGTATGAGTCACATTATTTGTATTTAATATAAAAAACGTATGAGCATATTCCTAATGTATCTGTAATCAACAACTTTTTTTTACATTTTGCCTTCATCCAAAGGTTTTTACAATATAATTGCAATCAACCATGAGGATACAAATTCAGCAACAATCCTGCAAACACATACGCTTTCAAATACATTTCTAATAGCCAGGTTAGTTTTTATAGTCTCACTTTGTAGTATTCACATTGGTTCTGCTGAGACTTCACACAGGAAACTACCTCTAACACAATGAGCAAAAAGCGTTCTCGGAGAAACCTGCTAGAGCAGGGGTCTCCAACACGTCGATCGCGAGCCTTCCGGTAGCTCGCAAGCCCTCAATAAGTAGCTCGCCAAGCAAATCCAAAATGTAAAAAATACACACACAAAAAAGGAAATGTAATTAAAAGAATCTACCCTATGCATAAACAAAACCTCAATCTTAGCGAACTCTATATACTTACTACAACTCTATATCTATCCAACACCCCTCCTCCCCACAATGAATATCAACCAATCACGTTCTTGCAACAGTTTAAAAGGGGAGTGATTAGTAAAATATGCATAAATAAAAAGAAAGAATGCTAACTATAGGTAACATAAGATAATAATAAACAAGTTTAAATGATTTGTTATTGGTTGTGATCATATTCTAAAGATGTTTGGATTATTGAAAAGTCTACAGCTCCCTTTCATCTGAGTGTTGAGAGCTGTATCCATAAATTCAATTTGTGCTCAAAGTGCACCAGATTGATGCATTTAACTTCAACATTTAAAAAAAATCTTCCCGGACCCCCCTAGAGGATGTGAGGTCCACCCCCAAATAAAGCAGGTTAAAATAATTAAATTGCACACATTTTCTTTTAGTAAACACTGAAAACGGGTCCCACATGACCCAAACAGCACACAAAGTATAATGTTAAAATGTGCTAAATATATACACTTCAAAAAACAAAAAAAAGAGAAGTAAAAGTAGCTCACTACTTGTTTTATTTTTTGAAAGTAGCGCTCATCCTAAAAAAGGTTGGAGACCCCTGTGCTGGAGGCTCCCAAATTAAATCTTTCTCAGGAAGTCTCTGCAAATGCTTTTGTTGACTTCAGGGTTGATTAATCCGTCAATATGCCCTCTTAGATTTAGAACTCCAGGGTTCATTCACTTGCTTTTTCTGGAGATTTCAACGTGTAACCATCTTAAGGTTTGTTTGGTTGTCATGGAGAAAGGGGGGGTTCAAATTAATTCAGCAAATTGAACTGCATTGACTTAAAAAATGTGATCAACTAATGTAAATACTAATGTTTATTTTACGACAGAAAACTCAAATGTAATATCTGTAACAGCTTCTAGTGCGACTGAATGTATGAACAGTTCAACTCTCTGTTCTACTTAATATGTTCGTATACTTAACAGTGTACACACATTGACTGTTTATGGGTATTTATAAGTGTGTTTATAAAGTCTGAAATAAAACTTTGCAATGGCTGATGTTTTATTTTAATGTCATATTAACTTTATATTTTACAGAAAACGTTTTAATGCGTAATGGAGCTGCTACTATGTTGTAACTTGTATGCCATTAAATATTGCGTCTTATATGTTAAGTTAAAAACAAAGTTAAAGAGGATTTTCCAATAATGTCATACTTGCTTTTGTGAAAATGTTAAATGTGATAACAATATACACAGAACCAATGCCTGATAGACTGTGATTTACCTGTGCAGCTTGTTGTTTGACAATGTGTAAATGTAGTTCAGTATTTGCTGTAATTAGTTACAGGAGGCACAGACAGTGACTTGCTTTTCTTTTTAACAGCCCTGCAGGGTCCAAACACTGGTCTTGTCTCTGCAGGAGGACACCCCGTCTTTACAGGGACTGAAGGAGGAAATATTTCAGTTCATTGCTCCTTTGTTTTGCCAGGAACAAGGAAGTTACTCTGCAAACCAGACTGTAAAGAACGCATTCTCATTGAAACGACTGGTGACAGGCAGACTCAAGGCAGATATAGCATTGAATATATCAAAACTATTTTTCTGTCATATCGCGTTCGCGTTAGCATCACAAAGCTGACGAAGTCCGACTCAGGAAGGTACATATGTGGTCTGGACAGAGATTGGTTTCGAAACTCACATGATCTGATAGAAATCATCGTAGAAGATGGTGAGTTTTTACTAAAAGACAAAGTACGCTTAGGTTTTAGAGCTCCAAAAACACCAAATATATGTAATCTTACAACTGTTAACATTTATCACTTAAAAAAAACGGGTCCAATTCTTAAAGGGCCCTGTTATTCTCATTTCACTCATATCAGTATGTAGTGTCTCTACTGGGACATGTCTCCATGCTTTAATGTTCAAAAAGCTCTTTCATTTTCTCATACTGCCTGTGCTGCAGCACCTCTTTTCACCCTCTGTCTGAAACCAGAGCCCAGTCTGCTCTGATTGGTTAGCTGGCAGGCTCTGTTGTGATTGGTCTATCGCTTAGAGATGGCCCGCCCCTTAACCTGATAAACTAAAGCTGTTACATGGATAAAGCTATATTTGAATTTTGATTATAAGCATTATATGTTACGATTCCAAATAAAATACTCACTCTAAAATGTATCTTTACTAAAATACTGCCAATATTTTTTTCACATCCTTTCGTTGTGTCTTCATTGATCTCAGCTCCAACCACTTCCAAACCAAAGTGGACTCTTCAACCTTTTTCCACTGAAGTTCAGTCAGCCTCCACACCTCCAACACCTCAGAGGCAAAGCTCCAGTTCAAAAAGTTTCACATCCTCATCCTCTTCCCCTGAAACCCCCACCCATCAGCAGCAGACGCAGGGAACAGCTGCACCAACTTCAGGTACTTTTTAAAATCTTTGATAACACAGTTTTAGGGTTCCCTTGAATGTTAGTGAAACCATTTAGGCTTCACTATGAAACTGAAGAGAAACGAAGACTACTGAACGTTTTCCTACGGGATCACCGAGGCCAAATCGAGCCAGGTCGTAAAGTTATCTTGCCAAGATCCCCTTCCCCACTTCCATTACCCTTAGTGGCCACACCCACCTCTTAGCTCTAATATTAACATTCGACAAAACATAATTACAACAAAAATCAAAACATCCAAAAAAAACGCTCAACTTCAAGCACTGCATGAAAGTTGATGATTCATCTGAATATTATGCTAAAGTATGAATTGCTGATGTCAGTGATCGCATGAACTTATGAAGATATTAAACAAAACGTAACAAGGTGTTCTTGAACTGATCTTATACGAAGATGAGGCAGAAGTAAAAGGTAATGTGTTTCTAAAACATTACTGCATGCCACATAGAAGTAGTGATGGAGGAAGGGTGCAACAGGTGCTGCTTACCAACAGCTTTTGTGTTTTGAAGAACACAAAGTGAAGCTTTTTCTACACCGCCTATGCCATTGCTGTCTAAAGGGAGTAACAGTGTGATTTATATACAATGCGTTCTTATTTACAGTAGTAACACAGGTAAACCATTGACCCGAGTGTGTTTGAGTTTGTTTATGTGTGTATTGAATTATGATATGTATGTGTAACCCACCGCAGGGGGTCCGCTGTATGTGGGGCTGATTGTGCTCGCCAAGATCATGTTATCTCTGGCTGGGCTGTTCTTCTGCAGGAGGAGGGCCCGGAAACACAAAGGCAAGGCAACAGGAAACACACACTCACACACACCATGTATACATCACTTCAGGGGACATTACATTGACTTACATGCATTTCCTGGAGACTTATCCTAACCTTAACCATAACCAACACATGCCTAACCCTAACCCTTAACCTTACCCTAACCCTAATCCTAAACCTAACCAAGTCTTCACCCTAAAATTAATGATTCCCCTCATGGGGACCTCCAATTTGTCCCCATAAGGGAGGCGAGTCCCCACACGTGACTGTGTAAACAGATTTAGGTCCCCACAAGTATAGTAATGCTAGGCCACACATACACATGCACACACACACACACACACACACACACACGCACAGACACACACACACACACACACACACACACACACACACACACACACACACAGTTAAAACTGCCATTTTTGCATGAATAATGACACTTTCTGATCTTTTATAAATCAAAGTTTAACATAACAGATAACAGTTGTTCTAAATGTAAAATGTAAAAAAAAGATAATTTCATGATTAATTTTGTACGTGCTAATACTGTATATCAATAATACAAAAAATAATATCATTGCTCCAAAAACAGGTATCTGTTAAATTAACCAAAGACCCAGTTTTTGTTCGGCCAGATGTTTCATAAGTGGTCTGAATGCGTTTTTGATGCATGTTTTTCAGAGCTTCCTGTTGAAGCAGAGTACGCTTCTGTCTCAAAGGTGAGTTTGGGGAAAGTGTGGACATGCAAACATCACTAGTGTTTGTGAAACTAGCTGATATGAATACAAACTAAACCCGTCTTCTCCTGTAGACCAACAAGCCCACACAGAGATCTCCTGCTGTGGAAATCCCTTCAGTTTACGCTTACGCCAAATACACCAAACCAAAAGACGATAAATCCAGTGACGACTACAGCTTGGTCGGACCCGTCGGTACCACTGCTGTCCGTTCTCAACACAAAGTAAGATAAACTCTCAAAGATGGTGGTTTCTCTGTACTTTTATTCACTGTGTTGTTTGGACCCCGGCTTTCTAATCTAACCAGAAGATCTTTATTGTCTGCACAATAAGGGGTTAAATATGAAAAATAAATAAAATTAAATCACTGGTCATAAATATACACTGTTTCCACAACCCATGTTAACTTGTCACTTTAACTTATTCCGCACTTTATAACTTAGATGATGACCAAATATGTATATATGCTGACAGTTATTTTACTCTTATTTTTATTCATCTCCTATTTTCATAGTCTTTTATTATTATTATCATTATTATTTTTTCCTTGATTTTATTTTATTTATTATTAGATTTTATTGATCTGTGTGAATCTTTGCTGTACTGTTTTTTTCACGCTTACCTTATTGCTACTTTGTACAACTGAATTTCCCCTATTGTCGTTATACTCCTGAACAACATGTTGCAGGTTTCTCTCTATGCAGCCTTTTTTTTAGAAAGCACAAGATAAATTATTCTTTATATTATTTTGGGGAAGCAGGTTTTTTTCTTTGTTGAAGGGCTTCACACAGGAAAGGGTGTGAAAGCCTGGGTGTGGACATGGTGTCAACAAACAAAGTGTCACATAACAGTTGATGTTTGAGATTACACAGGGATTCAAGATTTTACTCAGAAGTTACACTCAAAATACATATTTAGAAAATTAAGTTTTAAGCAACTTTATCACCATGTTGCTTCCTGGTGAGAGCGCTGTTACGGCCGCCGCCTCCCAGGTCCTGTTAATTCCGTGTTGACTGTGTTATATGTAAATTAGCTGTGCGGTTGCTATGACGTCCGGTGGCCGTAACAGCACTGTACTATGCTTTATAATATAGGTATTTGTTCTCTATGTATAGTTGCTCTTAATGCCAAAAAAACTAAGATATATACCTTAAAAAGTTTGTTAAAAGGTTACATTTTAGACCACATCTATTTTGTTCATCAACAGGCGTAAGCAAGCTTTTAAAAACAGGAACTAGGTGGGCTTGAGATCAAACCACAAGCTGTTTCGAGGAGGAAGTCCTCAGACCGTTTAAATGTAGACGCTGAGACGAAGTTTCAAAAACACGATATTAATATCAATGATGAACAGGAATTTTAAACTGCTAACCGAAAGCAGCACAGGAACTGAAGTTAAATATAGCACTAGAAGGGGCAGTCTGTGGTTTATAGCTTATTCTTGAGTTAAAAAATGAACAGCACTTATTGAAGAAGATTCAACTTATCAATCAATCAACAACTTTATTAATCCCGCAAGAAGATTCAATTTATTGTCATTACGTAGTACAGGTTCAATGTAACGAAACCTCTGCATTTGACCCATCCTAGTGTTAGGAGCAGTGGGCTGCCATTATGTACGGCGCCCATGGAGCAGTGTAGGGAACGGTGCCTTGCTCAGGGACACCTCGGTAGCAGTTGGTCTTTCCGGGACTTGAACTGGTGACCCAAGCCAAGTCCCTATCGACTTCGCCACCTCCGCCCTTATAGGTTTTAACTGTTTGAAGATAAAGCACAGTTTAAGGTATACTTGTGCAGGTAGTGTAAGAGCAAACACAATAGTGGTGGCTTAAAGCCCACCTCTGCTCCGCGCCGTCCTTTAGATGAGCCTGGTCAGATTTAATAAAAGGAGTTCAAAACACCGGCATAAAAGTTATAACAATAATCTGATTTTAATACAGTAAAAAACACAATACGAAATACAGAGTGCCCTGAAACAGAACACTCCGGGCTCCCCGCTCTACTGCCGTGCGATACAGATATCGGGACCAGCCAGTCAGAAACAGGGGGCATTTTGCATGAAGAAACAACAGTATATATGGACATATTTGGGGCGGAGATGTGTGTCGGCTCTTCCGTCCCATTTTACTCCTAAGCTAATCAGAGAGTCCGTGGGGAGTTTTACTCCTAAGCTAATCAGAGAGTCCGTGGGGAGGAGTTTGGGTCGGTTGCTCACTCCCCTAGGTGTTCTTACTGGTTGGATTCACTTTGGGTCGGGCCCAATACAGCGAATCAGAGTTCTGGGAAAAAGTATTTTTCTTCTGAACAGAGCGTGACAGCCTCGGAACTATACAAGGTCAGAATCACTTTTTATCTTATACCGGACCCAACTCCTTTACTTTCCCAAGGAAGATTTCACACAAACTATTCTTTTAAAACAATCAAACATTGTACACAGATATATTGGTATCAAACATTGTACACAGATATATTGGTGCTTGGGATTATTCGCCCCAGATAGAACCTTGGAAAAAGAACATGTGTGTGTGTTAGTGCGGGAAAGTGTGTGTGTGTGTGTGTGTGCTGATAAGCGGAGGCGTATGTGTGTGTGTGTTGATATCTGGGTCAAGGAGTTTATATGTGTGTGCTGCATGGAGACAGGAGGTGTATGTGTGTGTGTCAGGGTCTCTGGGTCATGGAGTGTAAGTAAGAAGGTTTATATAGGATTACTTTAAACAGTCCCAAATAATACATGTTCACTTCAATACAGTTCAAGATAATACCTGTTTACTTTAATACAGTTTAGAACAATATCTGGGTGCTTTAGTATGTAGAGCCTTTATTGTGTTTTCGTATTGTGAATGGGGGAAATAGAGTGATTCAACGTGACATTTTTAGTGTGAGCACAAGAGTAAAGAAAAGTCATCTTTCTGGCCTTTTGTGCGCTGTAGGTTATTGAGTCATTAGTTATAAACTTGACTTTTCTTCTTCTTCCAGGCTGCAGATGATTTCAGTGAACTCGTCTACTCTGAACTGAGATTTCCTGTCGTTACCGCCTCATCACTCAACGCCTCCTCTCGTGCCAATGATGTAATCTACTCCATAATTCAAGTGGAGGCGAGCTCTGAGGCCAAACCAAAGGAAGACGCTTCACCGCCTCCAGACTCTACTAATACCTTTCCTCGGCACTAACCTCTGTGCTTCCTGCTCCCTCTCTCAGGGCTGACAGGTACACAAGCTATTTTGCATTAACACCTTTTTCTTTTTCTTCCAACCTCCTTTGAGAAGTGGCTCCTATTTGTAACATAACCACAAATGTACCAACAATGAGTGTTAGAGGAGAGCTTCCTATTTTTAAACAAACGTATGATTAATTAGATTGGTTGGTATTTATCACAGCCAGTACAGTTCTCCACCTAAAGGGCAAAAACTGAAGAAAAATACTTCTTATTTTCATTTTTATCTAATTGATTTGATTATTTTAAGATAATATATAATTTCTCACACAAAAGAAAGTTTAGTTGTCAAGGGAGCTCTACAGAACAAAACATTATTTATTAAATGTATTAAAGAGAATATCTTTCGATAAAAACGTACCTTAATCCAAACAACATAAATCAAATAAAAGAATGGTTAGTTTTGGCTCTTCTGCATGGTGCTTTAAGAATATTTAGATGCAACATTTTGTCTCATAAACCTCTATCGCTTGAATACACTTCCTCCTTCTCTGTTTTTTCAACTCAAAACAACACAAATAATATGATTATAGATGTATTATGTAACTCCTTGGCTGCAATGCTGCTGAACTGCTGCTCATCCCTGTGATCATAAAACAAATAAAAACGAAATAATCACATTCAGGAGTTTCCTGCCAGCCTACGTTTAGGACCGGCACTTTTCTGTCTCTACAACTCTTTCTTTACTTTCTAGTTCAACATTTCTTATAAATATTGTCAAACATGAAACCTCAAAAGCATCAGTTATTAAAACCTCACACTCTGGTGAATGTAGCAGAATCATATTGAGCGAAATGCTTTTACCACCAAAGTTTAAACACCAAATTATGGCCTTAGTGTCTTTGTGTTTAGTTCACTGAGGCGGCATGCGACCTGATGTAACCATCAATGTAACCAGTAGATGGCAGTGTGCACTCTGTCATATACCTGCAGGCACATATGCAACACACAGAATACATGATTTTGTGTTTTTCATAAAAAGCAGAGTCTAATCCACTCCACTTTATTTCTATAGCACATTTTCAAAACAGAGGGTTTGCCAAAGTGCTTCACAACGAACATAACATTATAACAAAATATAATATTACAAGATTAGAAAAAAGCCACACATTAGAATAGATAAAAGGCACACATTAGAATAGATAAAAGGCACACATTAGAATAGATAAAAGGCACACATAAGAATAGATCAAAGGCACATAAAGGCTATGGACAGACAATAAAAGCATATAGAGCTCAGACTGACTCGAAAGCGAGGGAAAAGAGGTGGGTCTTTAGGCGGGACTTAAAAGTGTGAAGAAGAATGCGAAGCAGCATTAAACAACAATATCACAACACTGCGCTACAGCTTTGGTCTGTTTTTATTCCTCAGCATCATGTTTCTGGGTTGTTTGTTTCTGGGTTGTTTGTTTCTGGGTTGTTTGTTTCTGGGTTGTTTGTTTCTGGGTTGTTTGTTTCTGGGTTGTTTGTAGAGACGTAGCCTTCCCATCTCAGAAATGCCTGAGGGTATTTATTCAAATTTGGCACAAACGCCCACGTTGACTCTGGGATGAACTGATTATAATTGAGTGGTCACAGTTCAAGGTCACGGTGACCTCACAGAACACGTCTTTGCCCGTAGGGTTCATACCCGATTTATGATGACTTTACATAAATAAAATGATAAAAGACGATGTGAACCTTCATGGGTTGGTGGAGGTAATTAGTAAAAGTAATATATTTAATGTATCTAAAGAGGAAGGTGACTCAGTCTTGTGTGAGGGATATCTTGGGGCCGCTCCTGGTTTAAATGCGTTGCTTTACGAGGATGGGTTTGTGAAGTTTGATATTTTGGCGATCCGCATTTTTTCACTTTTGTTTTTGAACCAGAAATAAACAAGATAAGAATAGAGATCTTAAGAGGTGTTGGTAACTGGATTTGTATTATATTTGTGTACTCGTTAAGCTTAGCTTTACTGACTGGTTGCTTGCAGTATACGATGGTAACTTAGCTTAAAGGTAGCTGCTCTTTATAATAGACCAGGATTAACCTTTTTCAAAATCACAATACTTTATTTATTGTGGGGGGAAATTAGGTTTGTGACAATTATTACATTTTACAAACAAATATTTATATCCACATAAGTTAAGTAAAAATGGACACATAGCACTAAAATATATTCATCGGTAAAAACGTGTATCTTATAATATATAAAGTGTGTGTGTATTCACAAAGATTTTGATGAACGATGAAAACCAGATTATTGCTCAAAATGTACCTTAAAATACAGTTTAGATGCATTACTACTAGATTATTAAGTATTTACCTTTAGATCAGTGCTACTCAAAGTGTGGTCCGCGGACCACTGGTGGTCCGTGAGTATATTGGTAAAAATTTCACATTTGAAAGAAATACATTTATTTAAGTTTTTCGCACTCTCGCGGGAATATCTCCGCAATGGAGCGAGCTTAAGTTTCACTTTCGATTGCATGAAATAGCCCAGATAAACACCTTCATCACACATGTTGCCACTTGTTTGTACCATTTTCAGGCGATTTGTTAGGTGGTCCGCGAGTGTTTTTTTATTGGTTAGGTGGTCCTTGGTATGAAAAAGTTTGAGAAACACTGCTTTAGATTGATAGGTAAATGCTGCTTTGTTGTTAGGAGATGGAAGTTGTTCTTGTTAGTCAGGGTTCAGTTTTCAGGTTATGCATAGGAAATGAATAAAAGTGCAGCAGGTGTGTGTTTTACAAGGAGAATAGAGGCAGCAGCGGGCGCAGCACTCATAAGCTTAATGGCTCTGATTGCCTTACAGGATTTATTGACGTGTAATTAAATCAAACTGTTAACCCTTGTACATTTCATCCTCACATCTCGTTCTGCATCACTGCTGCTCTTCCCCTCTCTTCATTCTAACTCCACCCTCACTGACGGAGATGACAGCTCGTCTTCAATATGTATAAGTGTGTGTGTGTGTGTGTGTGTGTGTGTGTGTGTGTGTGTGTGTGTGTGTGTGTGTGTGTGTGTGTGTGTGTGTGTGTGCTGCAGTTAGTTTCTTAGTGTTCTGTATTCCAGTCATACAGGCTGAGTCACACTTACGGTAAATATCCATATAGAAGGAGGGTGTGTGTGTGTGTGTGTGTGTGTGTGTGTGGTGGTGTGTGTGTGTGTTGTGTGTGTGTGTGTGTCTGTGCATGTGTGTGTGTGTGTGCGCTTGCTGACATGTCCCAGACAATGCTAGACATGAGACAAGGACATGTGAGCGGAGAGAGAAAGATCCAGATCTGCAGTATCGATCACTTGCATCTTAACCCTCTGTCCCCGCCCACACACACACACACACACACACACACACACACACACACACACACACCACACACACACACACACACACACACACACACCACACACACCAAGTTAAGTGAATTAAGGCTTAAGTGAGGGAAGACATGGAGATGGAGGAAAGGGGTGGAGGAGAGTGAGGGAACACAACCTGCAGGAGGTGGAGGAGATAATGGAACTGCTTGAGAAGGAAACTCAATTTGCTGAGCAGAAGCAGATCAGAAGATGAAAATGAAAGTGAGTGATTCAGGCAGACATGGAAAGAACCAGCTTTTCTCTAAAGGTCACTGTGCTTGGTATTTGCCTCAGAGCTCGTTCACTTTTTACGTTAGCCTTGTTGTTGTGCGGCTCTGTGGAGTGCAGTGTCATTCTGTCAGACGATTGGCCCGTTGATGTCCAGACTGACAATATTTAATCTAATAGCTATTGGATGGATTGTCGTGAGATTTTGTGGGAACATTTGTGGTTTCGAGAAGATACATTTGTCTGATTCTCTGAACTTCCCTGTAGTGTAACAAGCAGGATAAAGTGTTACGTTATTCTCTGTAACATCTCAACAATTACAAAATGGATTGTTCCAGAATCATACACTTCGAAGTTGTGTTTTAATGTTTTTTTTGTGAAACGTAAAACGGTTATCGAACGATTTGTGGTTGTATTTGGTTCAGACATTCATGTTTGTTTGAGGCAGAAAATTACTTTTCTTTTTAACACTATCATCAAGTCAATATTTATACATATATGCAGAACTCAAAGCAAGACAACACCATTAGCCCTCAGCTGTAGCTTACTGTGTGTTTACGGCTTATTCGCGCATGCTACTGCGCTGAACTGCCATTGCAAACTGTGCAACTTCTTAGCATTAGCGTATATGTTTATCACTGGTACAAGAAGAAAACATTTCAATTATTTACATAAATTAGTCCTTGAGGCATATAAACATTGTTTGTGTTTATGACTTTACATTTGTTTTCAGGACATTGCTAGTCTTTTTTACCAGCAACTGTTTGTCCACTGAGAGTTGCGATGATTTTGGATATCTTAATTATTTTTATGAATTCATTCGTTGGACTTAGATTTGTTTCTCTATTGCTTAGCAGCTACAGTACACGTTCTCTATTGTCTGACTGCTGCTTTGTGTTATTTCAGTGAAAGAAGAATAGCTGAGGGAAATGATAATACAGTAGAACAAACTTCACACGCAGACCGGTCACTGAAACAGAGCTCCAAACGTATGTAGCTTCCTGCCAAAGAGAAACCCTTAAAACACAGACACTCTCCCTGTCCATCTGTCACACACTTTCTTTCTTTTTGTATCTCACACACACACACACACACACACACACACACACACACACACACACACACACACACACACACACACACACACACACACACACACACACACACTCATGGGAGGACTGGGGCTGTTTTGGCTGCCAAATGCCACCTATGTGTCTCTGGCCTTGTAGTCCGGATAGGATAGAACATGCATTTAAATTTCATTGCACAAGAGGAGGAAGACGAGGAGGAAGAGGAGGTGGAGCTTAGCGGGAAAAGCCTGCAGAGGGAGACGGAGATTGATGTGTGTGAAGATGTTAGCGGCTGCTGTCTGAGTGATGGGACTGAAACCGATCTGAAGTGACCTCACAGTCGCAGCTCTCAGACTGTCGAGTTCATCCGGCTTTAAACATTGATTTGGTTCGTCTGAGTGCAATATCCGTGCTTTCCAACATGGTCAGAACATTCAAAAGTTGTCAGGAATATTAGCCATTAAGATTTCAAAGATATTGAAAAAACGTACAAAGAATGATTGCACTAGTATCTCCTTTTGTTTAACGGTTGAGTCCCACAGCTCTCATCCATCCTGTTTGCAGCAGCAGCTTTACCCTCAAACTAACAAACCCACCGACAGACAGAATTACTTGCTAATGAATTAAAAGTTGTGACATTTAGCAACTAGGCGCCTCTTCACACCACCACTTTTTCTCTAGACTTCCTGACCTTTTAGTTTCATTCTTACTAAATTACGGATGTGAAACCTCCCTCTGACC